TGTTAGTTGTTCGTTGCACAATTTTTCTACGTCTGACGACGACCGGTGGGTCAATGTCGAAAATTTACACAATAGAATTGAAAAAAAATTTCCCAAAGAAATTATTATTCTCATTATTAATATCTTGGCATGCAAATATTTCAAGATCTGTTGATTGTGCCAGCGGAGGACCAACTTTCCAGCAAAAGCCTGGCCATTTTCCCATTGGCCCTGCCAATCACCCTCGCTTTGTCAAACGCGAATTCGTGGTTGAGCGGTTGCACATGACCGTAGACTAATGACAACTTGTCCTTGCGATTTATTGCAAGGTGATGTTCGTGCAGTCCTGTGCCCATACGTTTGCCCCTTTCCCCAACATACCTAGCCTCGCAGTTTTTGCATGGTATGATGTAGACTACGGCTGATTGCTCGGTTGCTGGCAGCGGGTCTTTGGGCTTCATAGTTTTTTGTCTGATTGTAAAATCTGATCTATGCGCTACTCCGATTCCAAAGGATTTTAGGATTCAGGCAGTCGCCTCTGAAGCGTGTTTCACTTAGAGGATAGCGAGCAAGAATTTTGGATTTTCTTTTTCACTCAACCGATGAACGCGAGGCTTCTTGAGGCACATGCGGATGAAGGACTTCGGATAACCGTTGGCTTTGAGAAGGACATGTAAGTACTTTATCTTCTCCTGCTTCCCATCTTCGTCGCTACCGTTTGTTTGAACACGTCGGAAGAGGGTTCTGGCACAAATGCGTTTGTGACCAGCAGAGTGGTTGCTTTGAAAGTAAAGAATGCGCCTGAAGTTATTTGCCCTACGGAAGACCGTTGTCCTTATCTTACCGTCTGCCGGTTTTTTAACTTGGACGTAAAGGAAGGCAAACTGATTGTTGACTTCTTCTTCCATTGTGAACTGGATGTCGGGAAGGATTGAGTTTAAAAATGCCTTGAAAGCTTGCCAAGGCTCCGCTTTATTATGGTGAATGTGTCATCGACGTATCAGGCCCAGAACTTCGAGGGCTGCGAGCTGAAGACTAGCTGCTCAAGCCTCAGCAAAACTGCTTCGGCAATGAGTCCAGACAGTGGGGAGCCCATCGGTGTCCCCTTCTTCTGCTCGTACACTTTGTCGTTTAGAGTGAAAAAAGGTCTGAAGACACAGTTGGAGGAGGCCGAGGATTTTCGCTCCCTTGAGTTGCTTCTCAGTCCCCTCATATTTTTCAAGAGGAAGGCCGTCAATAGTGGTGATAACCAGTGCGGGTGAGATGGAGGTGAATAACGAGATCACATCGAATAACATCGGCTCCTCGTCTGCCCCTACCTCAAGATGCTGAATGCGCATATTGACTGGCCTACAAATACGCTGACCGAAGAGGGGACGAAGGTCACGCCCGCACACCAGCAGCCAACCTCCGGGAGACCGAATGGCGTCGGCAACGGACGGCCAGGTCAAAGTTCACACGTCCAATACCGATATAATTAGAGACAGACGGCAATGCTGGCTAACTCAAGACCACTAGACCAGCTACCACAAAAGGCTGACGATGGAAGCGAGAAGGTTTTCGTAACGTCAGTTCAAATATAATTTTGTCCATTAACCCGCCCCTCTTCTTCTTCCTTACCTTTGAGAGTTGATGAACACGATAACATATCTGGACCCCGAATCTTTCGGCATATAAATATAAAGAGCATTTACTGAAAAAAGGTGTTTTGGATATTAACATTTATTAAGATGACCATGTTACTCATATTTAGGAACGCCTCGAGAAAGCAAACCTGATTGTCGGGAATAAATATTATCGGCAACGGAATTCTGATATTGTTATTCCATAATAGGTTGCCTCTTGGAAAAATGCCTTGATTAGACATTCCGCCAAAATTCCAATTTTACGATTGAAAAGCCGTATTGGCAAACAATCGTTTTCTGTCATTCATCATCAGGCCGGTAGATGACATGGGGAATAAAATTTATCAGTTAATTACAGCGTTTATATAATCGTCAGGTTTGGGGAGGGGGGGAGGATAATGGTGAGGGTAAGTAAGCAGCTAGGTTTTCCCTCGTCTCCTGAATGCGGGCGCCTGCGCGGGTAGGACGCTGGTT